TCAAAAATGAGTTCAAGGCCAGGCACAATGGTTCATGCCTGTCATCTCAGCATTTTGGGGGGCTGAGGCAGCTGGATCACAAGGTCACGAGTTCAAGAAGAGCCTGGCCAACATAGTGAAATCCCATCTCTACTAAAAATACAAAAAATCAGCTGGACGTGATGATGGGCCTGTAATCTCAGCTACTCAGGAGGCTGAGGCAGGAGAATCACTTGAACCTGGGAGGTGGAGGTTGCAGTGAGCCGAGATCACGCCATTGCACTCCAACCTGGGTGACAAGAGTGAAACTCTGACTCAAAACAACAGTAACAAAAACAAAAACAAAAAACCTCATAACAGTATGGAGTGCAAAGATTACCTTTCATCCAACTATAAGATGAAGTTAAAGTTTACTGAGTTCCTTGATAATGAAGGAAAGTACTAAATAGAATAAGGAATAAGTGTAAATGCAATTTACTTCTAGTATTAACAAATAAAATACACTCAAATAAGAAGCACAGGTTTTAATGGTTTCATATGGCTCAACCTTCTCTATCAGCATAAGGGAATTCGATAGAGCTTAGTGAAAAAGAATTTCATTGGAATTTTCGACTTCAATGTTGGGTTCACATAACAGCTCCTAGAACATGAGGAGCAGAGAGCTCAAGACGCTTTTGCTCCACTGCTTCTAAATCTTGTTTATAAAAGTTTAATTTCAGTGTAATTATAATAAACAATCTGGTGGATAACAAGTGTCCTGAGTCTATGTATTTTCTGATAATTCAAGAAAAATTTGACATGCCTTTGATATATCGTAGCAACATAGTGAAAATCATTTAATGTTCAATCCAATTGGCTATCTCCTTTGGAGAATGATGATTAGAAAAAAAATCAAATTATTTAAATGTGAAATCACAATCATATGTTAGTGACTGCTGATAAGGTATAGTCATGTCTTAATTATTTGGAGTATATAATAGAAATGTTCCTTTCTCAAAATTATTTGTAAAGAAAAGAGGAAAATGTCTAACAGTGATTTCTCATCATCGCATTATTTTTACATCAATGCTCTTCAATAAATAAAGGCTTTGAGCCAAACAAATGTGTTCAAATCTACATCTACTATCTATTTGACACTTGGAAAATTATTTTAACACTCTGATCCTGGTTTCTCATCTAGAAAACAAAAATAATAATATTACCTTCTTTGTTAGGTTATGTAAGATATAAAAGAAATAAGATCATGTTTGTAAAATTCTTAACATAATGCCTATCACCTCATAAGTTTTTAATTAGGTACTTGGGGGTAGGGGGAAGTACAGAAAAATTCCTGAAACATAACTATAATAAAAATGACAAGAATAATGACACTGTACTATACATTTTACATGGATTATCTCATTTAATTTTAAAATAATAACATAAGGTACTATTGTTATCCCCATTTTACAGATGAGAAGAATGAGACTTACAGGGCTTAGGAAACTTGTTAAGGTCATGCAGCCTACAGAAGGCAGAAAGGGGACTAAATACATAAAGGTAGCAGCTATTATTATCATATTATTATCTTCACCATCACCGTCATCAACCCATCATGCTATCTCTGTAGCAGACTAGGCTATAAAAATGATTTCTTGGGTACTTCCAAAGATAATTGCCTTCCCTTGGAAGAAATCCAGAACAAGCCCACATTAAGCTAAATTCTGCATTAGAGTAGGCTGTCATACAGTTGGAAGGATTTATTCCAAGCGCCTAGAAGGCACATGAAAGATGAATAGATAGAATTTGTCAGATTTTCTTTTACCTTTAAACATATCCCAATGCAATGAAGGAAAAAAGGATGAAGCCATTTTGTTCACACACAAAGACATTTTTAAACATCATCACGATTGGTACGTCTATCTGGTTGTTAGTTCCTAAGAAATCAAACACAGAGCCAAAGATATACATACCTCATGCAAAACATTGTCCTCATTGTTGATGAATGATAAAAATTAAATGAATTTAGTGTAAATGTATGAAACGACAGGAAGGGAATTAAAAATGAAAATCTAGAATTTAGTTGAATTTTATAAAGCTGTTTATTCAAGATTATTCATTCATTATATTTCACATGTTTACCTAATTATCAAAAAAGTTGCAATATTTCAGATATAAATTACTAATGAATGTACATTTTCCTAAAAAATTTTAATGCCATGATTATATCTGTATAATTGTTTTAAACATTCATATTAGAGATAAGCATTAATGATTTGACAGAAACATCATATTATTCAAATGTATCACAAGTAAACAGAATATGATATCAATATAAATATTCTCATGATTTATTCAAAGCATAAATGAAGTGTAACATATTTTTAACAGTAGGATTTTCTAATAAGCTTACAATGACGTTTAACTTCTATTTTCATAATTGTTATCGAGTTAGACATTTAAAGAATGCCATGATTTTTCTTTTGATCTTATTATAACTTTTAAGAATATACACTGTTCATTAAAAAACTCTTTAAAAATACTCTTTGAAAAAATGAAAGAATTAAAAATACTAGTTGTCACTGGAGATTCCGTATTCAAGTCCATACAGGTAGACTTGATAGATGAAGCCAAAAGCAAGTAGTTTTTCATAAGAAGAGTCTCAATGGAAAATCACTGGAATATAACATCTGATGACTAGGGAATATACCCAAAGCCTTTAGACTGTTGAGTTTTCACATTACAGAACTAAGCAACCTCCCACATGACAATCACATTCCTCCCATGCTATGTAGAAACGAAATGGAAAGCAATACCTCACCACCCCCAACTACTTATCAGCAGTTCTCCTTTGACACACCTCAGGTCATACCTCAGGTCAGGATTAGGGATAAAAAAAAGGTATCCTTCAAGTGGACATATTTCCCTTTTTATTCTATGGTATGCTCTTCCTTGGAGTCTCTGACTAAAACCTGAGCCATCAAGGAAAGAAAATCAATAGCCTTAAGGGAACAGCACAGAGCACAGGTGGGGAATTTTATTACTCAAGACTCTATGTTTTTTAAAGGGGTTATTTATATTTATATACTTTCCGTTGACTGATCATCCCTCTAGTTATGATTGTCTTGATTAGTGTAAATTGCTATAACTAAAATCAATGCCCAATTGAAACATTTAGGCTGTTAGCAGTTGAGATAGAGTCAGGAATCAGAAAGGGCCTGTTTCAAGCCTTTCATATACCCCTTCCCAGATTCACTATGTAAGGTAGAAAGTTACTTTCTTTATGCCTATGAGCATCCAAGTTGAAATCTGCAACTAAGGAGTACAATGCTTACTTCATTGTAAGAAGTCAGATGGTAGCAGAAGTCAGATTGTGAGAAGTCAGATGTGTAGCAGAGAGCCTGACTTTTAAGGAGGGTTTATTATAACTACTTCTACGGGACAACATTCTTCACAACTGAGGTTCAGTGGCTTAGTGGCAGGGGAGGAGACCCAAAAGCCTCAGTCATCTTTCACTAACCTCTGGTTACTTGTCCAAGATCTCTCTCCTCACCTAAAACCATGATTTTCCTCTGAATGCTTTCCTTCTTCCTCACCACATCCTGTAAAAGTAGTATAGACTTTTATTGCTAATCATGGTATGCATAAAGTTTAAAAAAACTAAGGCCTTTGGCTTTTTTCAATACATAAATAATCTATAATTGAGATGTTGGAGGAGTTTTCTTGCTGTATAGGGAAAAGTTCTGATACATTAAAAAGTAATAACACGATACCTATACAGAATGATGAACTATTTACTGGGATAATTCTAGCATCTCTGTATTTACTGTATGGAAGAGTTCTTTATGGAGAGAAGTTAACCAAATGGATGTCTGTCAAAAGAAGCATGCCTATAAATATTATAGTTTAAAAACGTTTATTGAAGTTGTCCATTTATTCTCAGAGGGTTACTATAATCACCACAAGGACAGCGATCTTGTCTGTTCTTCATTGCTATATCTCAAGCACCATGAATAGCACCAGTATATGGTGAATGCTCGGCAAACTTTTTTTGAAGGAGTGATGAAAATACCTCATTAAACTCCTGTCCGTCATTAGAAACTTACAAACAAAGAAAATAAAAGCAATCACACTTATTTATCAACAAAAATAGTATGTTTCTAGCATCTTGTTTAAAAAGGCAGCCTCTGACATGTAGTCCTGCGTTTAATTTGAACTGTGTGGCCCTTTATAAATCAATTAATTTCTCTGCACCTTAGTTTTTCTTTCTGTAAAATGGGTATATGCTACCTCATTGCGTTGTCATTATGATTAAATAAGGTACTGCATGAGTAAAGAGCCTTCAGATTTCCCAGCATAAAGTAAGCACGCATTAAATGTTGGGGGGTGTTTTTATTAAAACTCGAAATTTCACTGAGAAAGGCACTGAGACCCTTGAAGTAAATGATAGACGTTTCACAGCCAGTTGGCAAAGCTAGAACTAAACAGTCACACTTTTGTTCAATCTATGAAAAAGCTTATCCTGCCTGCTTATGTCTTTACATATACTTCCTAATATATGTGTATATATATATGTGTGTGTGTATATATATATGCTTTCTAATATATACTTATATATGTAAGTGTATCCATAATATATGCTTTCCAATATGTATTCTATATATACTTACTAGGAATCAACAAAGATGAGTGTGGTTCACTCTCTCTGGCAAAGACTTGAAAAATGCATGATTCTGAAATGCCTGCTGAAAATGAGAAAACCTTGAACCATGCCAAACAAAGCAGTTAATATAACTGCCCTAACCTCAAGTTTAGCACATAGTTGGAAATTTTGTTCTGAAGCATTTGCAAAGACGCAGATCCAGGGAAACGGGAATCAACTGTAGCAATTCTGCAAGTGTGTTCAGGATGAATATTATATTCAGTGTCACCGAGCACCTCACTCCCCTCGCCCCCACCCTCGCTGTCTCACCTCCCTCCCTTGGATCCTGCCACTCCCCTCTGCTGGTGCTGGAAGCACCGGGCGGGTGGCTCTCTGAGCTAGCGCGGGGCGGGGGCGGATACGCTTAGCCAGAGCCCAGGGGCCAAGAGCCCGGAGGCAGATGGAGGCAAGGCGAGGCAGCAAGTGCTGGGTAGAGCTCAGCTGGAGCACAGTTTCCCTCCAGGACCAGTTGAGTGAGACCTCACGTGTAGACCCAGAGGATCAAAGGACGGGCACGTCACCTGCCGCGCCGGCGCCGTTGCGCGCAGACCAGTTGTGCCGGGAGCTGCAGGTGAGTCACTTGCTCTTCCCTCCCGCCCCCACCTCCTCGACCCGAGTCCAACAGGTTGGCTGGAGCAGCGCGGCTCCCAGGGGCCCCGTGGGTACACTTCCAGTCTCACCTGGGCGCTGGCCTCGGCTTCTCCCTTTAACGAGGGAGGCCGTCGTTACTATTTAAACTCCTGCCCCAGCCCACGCTTGTTCTATTCCTTGTCTTTTTGCCTTTCCTTCTAAAATGAGACCTCCGCGGTGCTCAGAACACCTGCTCTCCGGAAAACTTGCAGGGACAGAAATGGCTAAAAGGAAGGGTGCCTCAACAAAGTGCCTCAACACTGGGTGGACACTCGACAGGGTGGGGGCTAAACGTGACACTCCTAGTTCTTAGGGACCCACTGGGGCTTCAATAAAAAGTCATCATTAATTATCCTTGTTTCTCAACCAGGAGGTCAAAACTTAAGAGAGACGGGAGAAGAAAATGGACCGTCGCTGATCCTCAGACTAGAATGAGAGTTAATTGGGAGAAAATGGTGCGGCCTCTTCACCCAGAGCACCCTCCCCCACGTGCTCACATCCCCAGCGAACACCCCCGGGGAGGCCTATGAAGCAGCAGTAAAAGAAGAGGGAGGAATATAAATTCTCAAGTTGGAAGGGACCAGGTTACCACTTCCTCTGCTTTCTGAACTTTTTGTTTTGGTCTCCTTCGGGCAGTGGTGAGTCTCGCCATCCCCCTTGCTTGCTTGCTTTCAGCTAAGAGTCATCTTCTCTCCTCTTCCTCCTCTTCCTCCTCCACCCCACATCTCCCTCCTTCCTCCCTTCCCCAACCCCTCCACCCACCAAGTAGCGAGTCATTCAATCTGTACACCTCCCAGTCTGGGAATCGCAATTGCGAAGTTGGGAGGCGGGTGACAACGTTTGGGAAGGGCCACGGCGACCGGCAGTGTGCACAGGGGCTGTGTCGGGCTCGGACCTCACCTGATCCTTGCTCTGAGCGCGACCCTTGCTCTGCTCCCCGTCTGTCTCCTCTCTCTGCCACTTGTGCGCTGCTTCCGCGCACTCGCAACTCCCTAGCGGCAGGAGGAGGAAGGCGCACAGCGGGTGGAGTGAGTAGGGGTGCGCCAGGGAGAGGCAACCCCTTCCGGAGCCCGGGAAATCCCGGCCGCCACCGGGGGCCGTGCCACCGCCCTCGCGGGACCAACGCTTTCGGCGTGTCCCTAACTTTGTGGCGCCCTCAGGCCGCGGCGACTGGGATAGAGATGCCTTCCAGCGGCAGAGCGCTGCTGGACTCGCCGCTGGACAGCGGCTCCCTGACCTCCCTGGACTCTAGTGTCTTCTGCAGCGAGGGCGAAGGGGAGCCCTTGGCGCTCGGGGACTGCTTCACGGTCAACGTGGGCGGCAGCCGCTTCGTGCTCTCGCAGCAGGCGCTGTCCTGCTTCCCGCACACGCGCCTTGGCAAGCTGGCCGTGGTGGTGGCTTCCTACCGCCGCCCCGGGGCCCTAGCCGCCGTGCCCAGCCCTCTGGAGCTTTGCGACGATGCCAACCCAGTGGACAATGAGTACTTCTTCGACCGCAGCTCGCAGGCGTTCCGCTACGTCCTGCACTACTACCGCACGGGCCGCCTGCATGTCATGGAGCAGCTGTGCGCGCTCTCCTTCCTGCAGGAGATCCAGTACTGGGGCATCGATGAGCTCAGCATCGATTCCTGCTGCAGAGACAGGTAACCCGGAGGCGCGCGGCGGCTGGGCGGGGAGGCGGACGCGGCAGAGAAAGAGAGGGAAGCACTGGTAGATTTGAGGCTTTACACCAGCTTCGCTGGAGCCAGGCCTAGTAATAGGTGTGGCCACCTCTGGGCTGACAGGTGGGGTGGGGGTGGGGCACAGAAAAGCCTCAACGCCAACTTTTGAGTAGAACTTTTTGAATCTCTTTGTTCCCTTTTTTGAGTATGCTAATTTAACGTATAAAGCAAGGGACTTTAGGTCCACAATAAATATTTGGTGACTGAATAAATGAATCAGAAAAGCCATGCTCCAAAAGGTGCATGCGTAGGAATGAAAGATTTGGCATGCAGCATTATCATTTATCAAACCTAGATCACTGACTTTGAAAAGCTTGAATGGAGAATTGTTTTAAATACAGAAGATGAAAAATTAGTCCCTTGATTGAAGGATTGTGGAACTTGGAGAGTGACTTTGCTCTTACTTTGCTATTACAACCATTTCTTCATGAATACCCTTTCGTTACACCCCCCAAAAGATTCCACCTGGCAAACATCCGTTCTTGTTACCAGAAAATGGGTAATAAAATGTGTTAATCCAAAGTAGTTTTGCTATGTATAAACTTCTACTAAGGAAGTGTCATTTTAAAAAATTATAATCCAGGCCAGGTGTGGTGGTTCACACCTGTAATCCCAGCAGTTTGGGAGGCCGAGGCAGGTGGATCACTTGAGGCCAAGAGTTCGAGACCAGTCTGGGCAACATGGGAAAACCCTGTCTCTAGTAAAAGTACAAAAATTAACTGGGAGTGGTGGTGCACACCTGTAATCCCAGCTATTCAGAAGGCTGGGGTAGGAGAGTCACTTGAACCCAGGAAGTGCAGGTTGCAGTGAGCTGAGATTGCTCTGCTGCACTCCAGCCTAGGCAACAGAGTGATATTCTGTCTCAAAAAAAAAAAAAAAAGAAAAAAAAGAAAAAGAAAGAAAGAAAAGAAAAGAAAGAAAAACATCATAATCCTAACTAAGAAATTCTGTGGGCAAGAGACAACCTAAGTAAAACATGAATAGACATTTTTCTGCATTTTATTGAATGAAAAAGGCTGACGTCCCTGCCATGTTTAATTATCTTCTACTTCTGTATTTTAATAAAGTTAGACTAATCACCAAATTGTCTTCTCTGAAAGATACTTCAGAAGAAAAGAGCTGAGTGAAACTTTAGACTTCAAGAAGGACACAGAAGATCAGGAAAGTCAACATGAGAGTGAACAGGACTTCTCCCAAGGAGCTTGTCCCACTGTTCGCCAGAAGCTCTGGAATATCCTGGAGAAACCTGGATCTTCCACAGCTGCCCGTATCTTTGGGGTCATCTCCATTATCTTCGTGGTGGTGTCCATCATTAACATGGCCCTGATGTCGGCTGAGTTAAGCTGGCTGGACCTGCAGCTGCTGGAAATCCTGGAGTATGTGTGCATTAGCTGGTTCACTGGGGAGTTTGTCCTCCGCTTCCTGTGTGTGCGGGACAGATGTCACTTCCTGAGAAAGGTGCCAAACATCATAGATCTCCTTGCCATCTTGCCCTTCTACATCACTCTTCTGGTCGAGAGTCTGAGTGGGAGCCAGACGACACAGGAGCTGGAGAACGTGGGGCGCATTGTCCAGGTTTTGAGGCTGCTCAGAGCTTTGCGCATGCTAAAGCTGGGCAGACATTCCACAGGTATTCAGATTTCATTGATGCCTTTTCATTTGCCATTGCATGTAAACATTTATTATTTGACCACAGTACAAGGAAAGTAACGCTGAACTAATATTCAAAATTACCAGCTCCCATACTTTACCTGATCATGACCTCTAAAGAGATATTGGGAAGCAAAACCCTGAAGTTGTTCTCACAGGTATAGAGAAGTGAGCACTCACATACCTCCTCTTCAAATGTTGAGACACAATTTGACCATTTGCTAACCTCAGTTTATCTGAAACCATTGCCCAGAAGATGTCCAAAAATTAAAGGCATGCTGCCTCTTCAAGGTTCTAGACAAAACATGCATAAATGACATAAAAAGATACATATAAATTATATATGACATTTAGGGACATAAGCCAGTTTCTCTTCTGTGTCCAAGAGGTGCTTGCTACATATGCTCCTTGGCGGAAGGGAAAGTCAGCCTTCCAGAGCCTTCTCTGACCAAACAGAAAGAGTGATGACTAGGTGCAGGTGCCCTTCCCAAAATTTTTGAGAAGTAATGGAAATATTTTGCTTTGGAAGAAAGCAAATAAACTAATTAAATTCTTGTCCCTAACCTGGGACGCATGGGAGAGGGGAATAGAGAGATCCCCTAGTTTTTTGTTTTGTTTTGTTTTGTGTGTGTGTGTGCCATAGAGCCTTTGAAAATCAAATTAATATTTTCCTAGAAAAGTCTCCATACAACACACATAAACACATAAGGTACATAAAAATTATAATTAATATCAGCAAAAATCACAGGAACTGATTAAAGATGATTTTTGCATCCCCAACAGTAGTAGTTACCAGGAGCTGGCCCTGCAGCTGTTGGATGTTCTGAAGTTCCTATGAGTTTTCTTATGACATACCTTAATGAAAACAGGAATCCCCAGACAAGCTTGTTGAAATACAGCTTCTAGCTATAACCCCCAGAAAGCTTGAGGTTGGATCTAGTAGCATACATTTTTTTAAATAGTAAGTTCACCAATGACTTTGATGTGGGTGGTTCTTAGATCACACTTTGAGAAACACTGGAGTGCCATATTAATTTTATGTATGTTGATAAAGATACATATTAGTACAAACAAATTGACTAGAGATTCCTATTCCTAGATTATTTCCATAGGTATGTGCCCCGACCAACCACCTAAAAAAAGGTTGATTATAGCTGTTACTTCCTACAAATACAGGGTGAAATTAACCTCTGGTATGTTTTGTTTTCAACCTTTCTCTAGTAATTAGAACTTATCATAATATAATTTTGGTAGTGTATTTTCCTAGCTAGTCTCACATACCAAGAATTTGATAATGGGGTTTCCAAGGACTCTTACAAGTACCACACTCTTTGTTTTCTGACACAGATAATGGGATGCTTTCTTCAAGTATTTATAAACTCTTCACAAGACTCAATTTAAAAACTCGCAGTAAATACTACATTTTTTTCCAAAAGAAAAGGAAAATAATTTCCACAATGTCACCTCTTCAAAGATTTTCTTCATTCTAAAACAAGTATAAAGTTTTAGTAAACTCTTAATTATTAAAAATATGTGAATTATAATATTTGACAATTTTGCCTCAACACTACACTTATTAAAATGTAAACATAGATGGCATATTTCTCCATGTATTAATTATGAATAAAAATTAAGAAGTGTTATAGAATAACGTGTTTTTGGCCAGAAAAGTAGATTTAAATCCTGGCTCTGTAGCTTTCTACTAGATAATTTACCTCTTCATGCCTCAGCTTCCGCATCTGTATAATGGCATAACAATTAGCAAGGCCCTCTCATATCCTTTCTTTTAAGTTAACAGAGATAACATGCTACAAATTTGTCCAGCTTTACTTTCCTTATAAAATTTTGGGTTTTTTAAAAATTTTATTTATTTATTTATTTATTTATTTTGAGATGGAGTCTCACACTGTCACCCAGGCTGAATCTTGGCTCCCTGCAACCTCTGCCTCCCGGGTTCAAAGCATTCTCCTACCTCAGCCTCTCAAGTAGCTGGGACTACAGGTGTACACCACCACACCCAGCTAATTTTTTGTATTTTTAGTAGAGATGGGATTTTGACTTGTTGGCCAAGATGATCTCAATCTCTTGACCTCATGATCCGCCAGCCGCAGCCTCCCAAAGTGCTGGGATTACAGGCATGAGCCACCACGCCCAGCCTACAAAATTGTTTTGAACATTTTGCCTTTAAATTAAAACAGTATTTCCAGACAAATGCTATGCATCTCCTCATGTATTGTGAATTTATTTAAGAAATGTAATTTCATGTAGACATATCAAGGCCAGTTTTTCTAATAAAGGTGAAGGTATTATAAAGGTATTCTGAAAGATATTATTTTGAAGTTAAACTTCAAAATATTCAGCGATCTTTAAAAATAGCTGGCTCATAATTCAAGAATATCTCAAAATTTGAAAAGCAAAATTTGAAATAATGAGAGTATAATTAGTATGCTAATGCATTTGAAATAGTCTCTAGCGAGCAAATAAAAACAAAAAAAAAATGATTCTAAGAGGTATTGTTTTGGACTCCTGAGGCCATATCATTTTGACATCATGTTGATATGATTTCAAAATGTGAACAAACTTTAATAACCATCTCTCTAGTATTAGGGAGAAAATCTTACTGTTCATTCAAAGCCTGGTTCCATAATGGGCTCTTCTTACTCCCCCATAGGGCCTAGTGTCTTCAGAGATGGAATTATCGTGGGTCTGTCTCCTTGGGTTTTAATAAATCCTCAGATCTAGGAATGGAAAAGCAGCCAATGCTTCATAATGAGTAAATTCTCTAGTGATTCCATTTCCCATACCTTTTTGCAATGGAGGAATATTCTGTATTAAGTTCTATGTTATTATAGGAAAGCAGAAATTTTATGTACTCAAGGGAGATCGTTTCCTATAGTTTTGGTATTAAGGACTAGGGTTTCAGTGGGTGTCTTGGGAGTTCAGACCTCCTCCTGACATACCACTAAGAATGTCCCCGGAATATACATGTGATGTTCTCATGTGGATTTTATCACCAATGCCTAACGCTTCTGCTGCTTCATTTTGTTGCCATGGTGTCCAACCTTTACTTTTTCTGGCTTTCCAATAATCAGATTCCTGATTATGTTAAACTTTACCAGGAAGGTGAGAAAATTGGACACATAAAATATAAGACAACATAAAATTGGCATTAGAAACAAGTGATAAAATGATGCATTGAAATGCAGATGTCACCAAATGAGCCCTCCACATGCAATACTGCAAAGGCCTCTTATTGTACAGACTAAAGTCTGTACCAACTAGAGTCTGTACAAAACTCCTATCGTAACCCCCCTGCCTGCCTTCAGCATTACTTCTCACCTTGTTTTTAATAGTAGAAGTTCAATAATTCTATAGGCAAATTAATGAAGCTAATAATATTTCTCTCTAGCCATCTCAACCTGGCTCCATCAACTAGACCGTGAGTTTCCTGAGCACAAGGATTATGATTTAACCAGCTTCGTATCCCCAGAACATTGCCCAGGGCTGGGGACTTCTTAAGTGTTCAGTACAGTTTGTGGAGAGCAAGGAGGGAGAGAAGGGAGTGAAGGAAGAGAAAGAAAAGAGATGCCAGTGACTGACAGCATTTGCTCTATTGCAGGATTACGCTCCCTTGGGATGACAATTACCCAGTGTTATGAAGAAGTCGGCCTACTGCTCCTATTTCTATCCGTGGGAATCTCCATATTTTCAACTGTGGAATACTTTGCTGAGCAAAGCATTCCTGACACAACCTTCACAAGTGTCCCTTGTGCATGGTGGTGGGCCACCACTTCTATGACCACTGTGGGATATGGGGACATTAGACCAGACACCACCACAGGCAAAATCGTGGCCTTCATGTGTATCTTATCGGGAATTCTTGTCTTGGCCTTGCCTATTGCTATTATTAATGATCGCTTCTCTGCTTGCTACTTCACCTTGAAACTCAAGGAAGCGGCTGTTAGACAGCGTGAAGCCCTAAAGAAGCTTACCAAGAATATAGCCACTGACTCATATATCAGTGTTAACTTGAGAGATGTCTATGCCCGGAGTATCATGGAGATGCTTCGATTGAAAGGCAGAGAAAGAGCAAGTACCAGGAGCAGCGGGGGAGATGATTTCTGGTTTTGAATTAATTTTCAACTTATTTACAAAAGCTATGTACAATTAATTACATTGATAAAGCAGTGATGTAGATTTCTGTATACTGATGATGAGCCTCTTCGGAGCACTGCTCATCTTAATTAACTTTTGCTGATACATTACTTCATCTACTAGAATATTTCACATCACCTATAACAACTGCACAGTGTACTGACACATCTGAGTGTCCAAAATAGCCAATTAACACGACCAAATACAACTGGGCCAATATAAACATGTTTGAATTGTCAAATATAAAATAATATTATTGCAATATATACAAAAAAGTTAGATTTTATGTATCACTAATTTTAGAAGTTTTTTGCACCACTAATTTTTTAAAAATGAAAGTTGAACTGCATAGCCCAGAGAAAGATAAGTGAATATTTAAGAACATACTGAACAATTTTGCCATTTAAAGATATTATCCAAGTACATAAATCACTCCTTTCTCTATCAGTTAAAGTTATTGAATACAGTAATTACTTTGCAGGAGAAAACTCTTTTCAGATGGGCAGAGATTGTATCCCTATTTTCTTTTTTGTGCAAACCACCAGTTACAAATGAACTGATCTCTATATCCCATTATTACTGTAAAAGGTGGGAATACCAAAACTCCTTAAATTGCAGTACATGAGTCTACACAAAGACTTCAACAATTGCACATCTTCACTCTCCCAACTGAGTATAATATGTGGAGCATAAAACAGCATATTTCTTAGTACTTCATAAAAATCAGATGGTCTTTTATGGATGTATTGTTCATGTTATGGTTTTAAAATAATGAATATGTAAAAGTGAGGTAGTGAACATCCTAAATTTATACATTGAAATTATTAAATAATCTTATTTCATAAAATGAGAAATATATGTTGAATGACATCACTGGATAAACTTGAAGACCTTTTATTTATTAAAAAAAGATTATGGACAGCTTTCTAGTTGTTGGGGTAAATAGCGAATGTTCAAACTTCGCAGGCATTTTGAAAGCATTTTGACATTTATGATAATAATATGATTCTGAGATATTCTGTTATATAGTTAAAGCCAAAACTGCTAAAGCTAAGAATTAGCTCATGATTCCCATTATCTTAGTAAATGAAATTCTAAAACCTAAGAACAACAAGGAATCAATCACCTTAATACCTATGTCTCCAATATAATAGAGCCCCCACGGGGAAGTAAATTGGTGCATGGGGAAAAAAAACTTACTCATGTCATATACAAAACACAGATATGCATACAGAGTATATCTGTAGTATTGACGTTTCATGGAGGTGAGAAATTAGGGGGGGAAAGCCTAGAAAGCTCTTTGCCAGGGGTGAATGGTGATAAGAAATAAACATTGAGAAGGACTGCTTTCATATATAACATATTTCATCAACTCTAAGACATCCTATTATGCTATGCACTACCAAGAGAGAAAGATATTAGTCAATTGTAAGATGCCATTAACTGTAAGATGCATCCAGATTTCAGATATGTAAAAATTTGAAATAAGCACCTTAAAATCCATGAAATATCGCATGTACTACCTCCTGTTTTCTGGTATGCATGCTTAAGCTCTGAAAACATTTTCACTGATGGCATGAGTTTTAGATTGTGTGCTAAAGTACTTTAATTTATTTAACTTGTTTCCACTTCTCCTAAATATTATGAAAGATTTAGGAGATATGAATATTAATAAGATAACTATTTTCCTTCTGACGTACATACATGGGTGCTAGAGTGTGGCACAGGGCTACTAGTCGTAGTATAAATCCCTTCCTCAATCTGAAGGGGAAGAAGAGGTTAGACACAGAAGGTAAACTTACTCCAGCTTTTCTAGAACTTTCCCTAATAAGAATAGTTACTCTGATCTAGGACTATGCTCTGTATTCATCATATATTGTATTATTTTATTCTCAAAACCATCCCAATTATATAATTACTATTCTTATACTCTTCAAAATACACATTTTATATGTTTATTAACTCTACAAATATTTATAAAGGACCTTTTGGTGTGCTGGGGACTAGGGAGTCTTTAAACAAGACTAGGTTCTGTTCACTTGTACTTAATATTCTATTCAAGGGTATGTGAGAGAAAGATAGCGAACCTGAAACATTAAAACGTGTAAACTTGCCTAAATTCACACAGGCTATAAATGGCAGAGCCAGGGCTGAACACCAATCTTCCTGACCCTGAAAATGACACTCCTAAAAGTCAAATTGCAGATTTCATCCTTCCCACACAAGTTCTGCATAAAAACTTATTTTTTAGGCAGGCCAACTTCTTGTGCATGGAGAAGTTCAATATGCCTTAAGTAAAATATCAGCTTATTCTCAGAGGTGGAATGGTGCTTTTAAGAAAAGGCTGTGGTGACACCTTATCGTCATTATTAGATAGAAAAAAAATATATCTTTAAACAATAGTTGGAAAATAAAAAATTTAAAAACTACTTGTATACATATGTATATATGTTTTTATCATAGAGGATCCTAAACATCTTCTATACAAATGTGCTGTTAGCTATGTAAATGTTGTCAAGATGTAGGTATTTCAAAAGGAATTTTAAATTATTATTGCCTACTTAATTTTGCTGTTAAATAAAATATCAGTTTATTTATTCAATGAATGTATATATAAGCAAATCTAATTCATTTAAGTAAAAAAGTCAAGGCAGGAACTCTGCTAATTTTATATCTCATTATTTTAAAACATTGAACACTTTTTAAACATCTAAGAATTATTGTTATAAAACAATATTTAATTTTTTAAAATATAAAAGAATTGAATTATTGTCTTTCTCTAAGGTATTTAGAGATCATAACTTTCTTTGTTAATTTAACTTTTATTTTAAGTTCAGGGGTACATGTACAGGTTTATTATATAGGTAAACTTGTGCCATGAGAGTTTTTTTGTACAGATTATTTCATCACCCAGGGATTAAACCTAGTACTCATTAGTTATTTTTCTTGATTCTCTCCTTCCTCCCAGTCAGCACTCTCTGACAGGCCCCAGTGTGTTTTGCTCCCTTCTATGTGTTCGTGTGTTCTCAGCATTTAGCTCCCACTTATAAGTGAGAACATGTGGTATTTGGTTTTCTGTTCCTGCATTGGTTTGCTAAGGATAATAGCCTCCAGGCCCATCCACGTTCCTGCAAATGATATGATCTCATTCTTTCATATGGCTGCATAGTACTTCATGGTGCCTACAGACATTTTCTTTATCCAGTCTACAATTGATGGGCATTTCGGTTTAGCCCATGTCTTTGCTATTGTGAATAGTGCTGCAATGAACACACGTGTGCATGTGTCTTTATAATAAAACAATTTAAATTCCTTGGGTATATACCCATTAATGGAACTGCTGGAGCCAATGGTATTTCTGTTTTTAGGTCTTTGGGGAATTGTCTCTAACAGTGGTTGAACTATTTACACTCCCAGCAACACTGTATAAGCATAAGCATTCCAATTTCTCCACAACTTTGCCAGTATCTGCTTTTTTTTTTTTTTTTAACTTTTTAGTAATAACCATTCTGCCTAGTGTGAGACAGTATCTCATTGTGGTTTTGATTTGCATTTCTCTAATGATCAGTGATATTGAGGCTTTTTTCATGTGATTGTTGTTCACATGTATGTCTTCTTTTGAAAAGTGTTCATATCCTTTGCCCGTTTTTAATGGGGATTATTTGTTTTATCTTGTAAACTTAAGTTCCTTATAGATGCTGGAGTATTAGACCTCTGTAAATTTATAGTTTGCAAATAATTTTCCCCATTCTGTAGGTTGTCTGTTCACCCTGTTAATAGGTTCCTTTGCTCTGAAGAAGCTCTATAGTTTAATTAGGTCCCATTTGTCAATTTTCACTTTTGTTGCAACAGCCTTTTGTGTCTTCATCATGAAATCTTTGCCTGTTAGAAAACACTACTTTCAAACATTTAAATGCACATAGGCAATGCTTGAGTACCTAAAAAAGCTATTTTAAGAAATTATTGAGGTATCTATATTGAGTGACATTCATATTTTATTTTATGTATATATTATTTATATAACATACAAGAAATTGTTTCATTTATCATTTTAATGCAAAATAGTATCAAGTATAATGGATCAGATGCACTAATAACTGAGGTAGGAATCTCAGTTCTGTGTTTTAATGTGGAATTCTTATGCTTATTAAAGTATTTTGATTAACTGTTGCAGAAAATATATATGCTGGCCCAATTTATCTAAGCAAAGCATTGTCATTGGATAAGCTTACTACTTTGAGAAGTATTTTCATTGATACATTGTGTTAACAAGAAAAGTCTCTTCTTTTCATGTATTAGCCGTTAATAACTGTCTTATGAATCCTTCAGTTCAGATCCAAAAAGATACTGGATAGCAGGTAAATGATGTGTTCTAATGCTTTCCTTCATGATTTTTCTTTACAAAGCATCACCACCCCAGAACTTTCTCCAAGCCATACTAATATAAGAAAGAAAAGAGAGATTTACTCATAAGCAGGCAATTGCTTACATCATACGTTTTAGGGATGATAGGACAACCTGGATACTCACCATCCTTATGTTTGCACTTTGCTTATGTTATATTATATTATGTTATGTTATATTATATTATATATGCTATATTATATTAATCACTCCCTTGCTTGCCCCCTCAACTCCAGTGCCACTCTTTTGCTTCCTGTTATTAAATTGGCAATACCTAGACCCTAATTAAATCCAATCCAATGCCTTATTGTGCCTACCCTTGTAGAGCAGATCATGCTTTACAGAAAAAAACACAATGCCTGCAGACTCCTCTCACTTTACATTCATGCCCACAACCCCAAATGGGTTCTTAAAGCTGCCAGCCAATCTTATACGGCAATTCCTGAGTCCATTCACTCTCTTGAGACAAGTAAAAACCTCTAACACTTCCCTTTGATTCCGCTTTAACTCAGAAAATAGAATCAGAAGAGATTTTTTTTAAAAAAAGAGTCATCACCCACATTTATCCACCTACCTCCATCTGTGCTTATTAACTCTGCCTTTCTTCACTTTACAAGGATTGGATCGTCCAACTACATTTTCTCTCCAACTCTAGGACATTGCTACAGAGAGCTTTTCCCCTTTTCTTACTATATCATCAATTTTACCCATTCCTACTTCCTATCAGCACACAAATATGATTTTTCCCATCTTAAAGGAAAACAACAGGCCATCAAAATTCTTTGACTCTATTTCATCCTCTAGAAAACATCCAATTCTTTACTCTTCTTTATGGTGAAAGTCTTTGACCATAGTTTCCATACTTATTCTCTCCCTTTATATATTCACTGTTTATTTTCCCATTCTTTCTTAAAAATTCACAGTAAGTCTACCACCCCTACAACTCCTGTAAGACTTTTCCTTAAGGTCAGCAGTGACCTCATCACTGCCAAATCCAATCGTTTCTTAGAACTCATATGGTCTGATCTGTCAACAGCATTTTGCAAGATTAATTACAGATTCTTCCTTGAAACACTTCTTCACTTGACTTTCAGCCCTTCATGCCTTCCTAATTTAATCCCTACTTCATTGGTCAGTCATCTTTTCTAATCGAGGTCATCAATCAAGGCTTAATCATCAGTCCTCTTCTACACTTCATTTACTCTGTCCTCTTGATCAAAATTACCCAATTCCATATCATTGATTCTTGGTCATTCTCAAATTTCTACATCCAGACTAAAACTTTCCTCTCACTGTATTTCCAGAATTGTGATCTAAATGCCTATTCAACGGATGTCTAATAAACATCTTGCAATTTGCACATCCAATATCAAACTATTTATCTTTTCCCCAAAATCTAAGTTTAAGTCCTCCGAGAAGCAGATGCCAAGATAGGTATTACAATATTGATTTTGTGCAAGACATTTACTGGGGGAAAATGCTTATGAAAAATAAAGAGAAGGAATCTAGAGAAGGTGGGAAGAATCATCCAACCATGATACAGATCTGACAGCTATGAAGAAGAGGGAGATGGAGAATAATTGGATGAAAAAGAAAAGGCAATGATTGCATCCCATTTCCAAGAAACTTAAGCCAGTTTGATGGAGAACA